TTAAAAGGTGATGGAAATTTCACCAAACACATAATAAAAATTTTTGTGATAATAATGCATACTTCATCTGTATGCATTTAGGGAACTACAAGCTTACATTACAGTATCGCAGCTGTTAAACCTTAATCAAAGTCACTGAGTAAGCAATTGATACTCCTGATAAATTAATACAGAATAACAAGCCATTCTTAACTTTCTCAAACATCTTAAAATTCTGCGGAGAAAGGCTGGTTTGCATTATACGAATCTCGTGTCTGACCTTAGTATCCCATAAGATACGGACTGGGGGAAATCTACTTGGAAATACATGAAAGGAGTAAGAAAGAGCATTTAGAAAGGTTATTTGGCTCCCAAGAGACGATGCTTTAGACATTTGACAAATTTTATTTCTTCACCACAAGAAAGAGTATGTCTTAATTTTGGTTAGCAAGCTTTATGCTGACTACACATGTTGATTTGATGATATCCATCTTTGGTGTATGTGAAATAATGTAGATATGGATGTTACAGTAAAGGGGCAGTGTTTACGTAGAGAAAATAATGAGGGGGCCATTATAGCTTCATGAAACTAAGGGAGTATAAACTGGAAAACATAATCTGCTGTTAAATGATTATGCTGAGAACTGCATTTACACTTCCAAATCTTGTGGTAGTGTATCCGCAGTGTTTGCTGATGTTGTCATGTTTGGCCTCACTTTCAGACTAGTGACCTGTCTTAACAGCAGTAGTTATCCCCTTCATGTCTGTTATAAATTAGCATTAGAAGTGAGTGTTTTTCTTATAGAATTTCAATATGCTGGTAAACAACATCACACAGCACTTGATCTTAATATGTTTATGTAAGAAACTCTTTCGAAGGCTGAGATACTGGCAAATAAAAAATACACCGACTATTAGTCTAGGATGAATATAACTGAAGAATGAAAAATGAAGTCACTCTTTAGGTTTAGGCTACAAAGAAAAAATGCCCCTTAGGTGTTGCACTTCAATAGTCCGTGATCTTGGTCAGAGATGGCACATTTGAATTACTGTTGTAGAATGTATCTAAATGAAATCTTTGATATGCCTTTCACATTTTATGTATGTTTGTTCCAGATTTTTATCAGAGCATGTACTGTAATTATACAGAGTTTCTGTATAGTATATGTTTCAGTGTCTAAAAAGTTCATTCTCTGTAGTCTACCCTGGTTTGCACTAAGAGAAAGCGATAACAAAATAATATACTTCCGTTAAACTTTTCATGGCAGTTTGATACTATATGTAGGGATGATACCACTGGCAAACGATCATTCTAACTCAATTTCGTTAATAAGTACATTTACACTGAACACCAGGCAAACCGCTAAATAGACAGATCAAATAAATATACAGTAGCTGTACCTCTCAAAGGTTTTCTATTTCTAATTTCTAAGATTTACACAGGTCTGCCACAAAGTACCAGATTTGTCTCTACCACAGATAATTCTTTCGCATCCAGAGACTTTCTTTATTCTTCATTTTTTCAATAAATGTTAAAATTCACATTTTAAAACGCCCAAACCACTCTTATTTTCTGCAAGCAGATGCCATGTATGATGAAATGGAGGCAGTTACATTTTTTTTATTTTTATGTCATACAATATTAGCACAGCTGTTTATCAAACCCATGTTTTAGTAAAACAAATATCACTCAAATTAATTTTAGTGCGCATAAACACGTTATAAGCCCCAATTTATTTTTGGCAAAATATAAAAAATGAGGTTGTACCAAGTAAAAAAAATAACCAAACAGATACTAAAAATGTTCAGCATTAAAGTTGAAGTTTACAGTGGATATAAAAAGTCTACACACCCCTGTAAAAATGAGACAAAGATAAAACATTTCAGAACTTTTTCCACATTTAATGTGACCTATAAACTGTACAACTCAATTGAAAATGGGGGGGGGGGGAGTAAACTAAAATAATGTGGTTGCATAAGTGTACGCACCCTTTTATAACTGGGGATGTAATTGTGTTCAGAATTAAGCAAACACATTCAAAATCATGTCAGTACACACCTGCCATCATTTGGAGTGCCTCTGATTAACTCCAAATAAAGTTTAGCTGTTCTGTTAGGTCTTTCCTGACATTTTCTTAGTCGCATCCTACAGCAAAAGCCATGGTCAGCAGAGAGCTTCCAAAGCATCAGAGAGATTTCATTGTTAAAAGGTATCAGTCAGGAGAAGGGTACAAAAGAATTTCCAAGGCATTAGACAGTCATCAAGTGGAGTAAATATGGCTCAACAGTGACATTACCAAGAACTGGACATTCCTCCAAAATTGATGAAAAGAGGAGAAGAAAACTGGTCTGGGAGGCTACCAAGAGGCCTACAGCAACATTAAAGGAGCTGCAGGAATATCTGGCAAGTACTGGCTGTGTGGTACATGTAACAACAATCTCTCATATTCTTCATATGTCTGGGCTATGGGGTAGAGTGGCAAGACAGAAGCCTTTTCTTATGAAGAAAAACATCCAAGCCTGACTAAATTTTGCAAAAACACATCTGAAGTCTCCCAAAAGCATGTGGGAAAATATGTTATGGTCTTATAAAACCAAGGGTGAACGTTTTGGCCATAATTCCAAAAGATATGTTTTGCACAAAAACAACATCGCACATCACCAAAAGAACACCATACCCACAGTGAAGCATTCTGTTGGCAGCATCATGCTTTGGGGCTGTTTTTCTTCAGCTGGAACTGGGGCTCTAGTCAAGGTAGACTGATTTATGGACAGTTCCAAATACCAGTCAATATTGGCACAAAATCTTCAGGCAGTTCAGAGGAACGTCATCTTTCAGCATGACAACGACCCAAAGCATACATCCAAATGAACAAAGGAATGGCTTCACCAGAAGAAGATTAAAGTTTTGGAATGGCCCAGCCAGAGCCCAGACCTGAATCTGATCGAAAATCTGTGGGGTGTTCTGAATAGGGCTATGCACAGGAGATGCCCTCACAATATGACAGATTTGGAGTGTTTTTTCAAGGAAGAGTAGGCAAATATTGTGCTGTAATAAAATCGAAAATTCGCACACTTTTGCAACCATATTATTTTAGTTTTTTATTTTTACTTCCCTTCACCAAAAAGATTTCAGTTTGTTTTTCAATTAAGTTGTACAGTTTATAGGTCACATTAAAGGTGGAAAAAGTTCTGAAATAATTTATCTTTGTCTCATTTTTTTACATCACAGTAACCTGACATTTTAACAGGGGTGTGTAGACTTTTTATATCCATTGTAGGTATGTGTTTTTGCATAGTTACATTGGTCCAGCTTGGACCAATGTTGGTATGCATGTGCCACACCAAACTGATCCATGTGGAAGCTGGAAATCACTTTAGTAGACACCACTACTACACTGATCTCCACTAGCTTCCAAGTGCTGTACAAAGTGGCTGTCCTGCTACACAGTGAGCTTCAGTGAACAAAAAAAGCATCCAAGAGGTGCTGGAAATTTGATGTGTGTTCAAAGTAGTGAGAGGACAAAAACATTCAGAGAGCTAACTGATTCAGGTTTGGCTGCTCACAACAGACATAGCTACTCTCCAGAAAAAAAAAAAAGCATGCACTAACGGAAGGAGTGGCAGGCCAAAGGATAAAAGAGTCCAAATTAATTTATTTATACTAAAAATCAGCCAACATGTTTCAGGGACCAGAAAACATTCCACTTTCATGAGGGCTTCATTGAAAATAAAAACCTTACATGGACTCAAAATAGAGCTTTCCTGTTTAAAACCGTGTAGGAAAGTTAATTGCTGGATTAGCAGATTCACTGACCAGCAGTAAAAGTATCACAAATGTGAGACAACATCTCCGAAAGCAGAAGGACCTTGACCATCCAGCGGCTCCTCTGGGGTTAGCTGTACATAAATATTTGTTTTTGGGTTTGGATATGCTTTAAAAGTAGGCTGTGCTATTAACTGAGTTTGAATCCCCATTACTTGTTATGTATTTTTAAACATAGTTAAAGTGGATCATTTTACCTACTTAGAATATACTGTATAGTGCTAAAGTATAGTGCAGCTCTGCAACTCCAATAAAATGTTTCAGCTGCAAAAAGAGAAGACGCATACGGTTTAGAGATTTTTCAATGGCTCAGATAAAAGTTGGTGCTACAGATCATCCAATTTTCTTGAATGGCTCAGTGGAAACCTCTGACATAAGCTGAGCAAGCAGCTCCTCACCGTAAATATGAAATGAAGACCAAGCAGCTGGAGTCAAGAATGCAATATAATTCCAACTCAAATAGCAACAGCTTCCCTTTTCACAGTATATTCAAAACTAACCTGTGCCTACTATGCACACTAAAGTATTTCTGTGTTCTAAACAAGCAGTAAAAGGACTTTAAAACAAGCCTTCACTCACCTCTGTAGCTTTATGAAGAAATGAATCTTCAAGATTCATGTCATAGGCACAAAAATCTAATCATTTTCCTATGGAAGCAGAATCTTGGCAGTCTATATATGGCTTTTCAATGTAAACACTCATTAGGTGATTCTAAGCCGTGGAAAACCAGCTTAAACCCAGCTTTTGAGTCTCTGTTGCAATATTTGAGTTTCTTTGAGGTTCAATTATTTTAGAACATGTGCAGCTAGAAAGGCAAGTGATGGCTTGTATTAAAGCTCTCTTACTGCTTGTTATGAATATGCAAATATGTTAAAATTTAACTACAAATATTTTTTTTTGCCATGGACACAATTAAATAATTTACCTTTAACCACCTCCCGTCCGGCTGTTGTATATAAACGGCCGGACGGTGGCACTGCAGGGTCGGGTGGCCATTTATAAATGGCCTCCCTGCACCCTGCTTGTGCGTGCTTCCCGGGAGCACGCAGCACCGCAATCCGGTGCCCGCTGTGTCCTCCGGACACTGAAACACCGATCGTCGGACCGAGGTCCCGATCATGTGATCGCTGATTGGCCAATCAGTGATCACATGCAAAGTAGTAAGCAAGATGTCACTTGTGACATCATTGCTTACTACGTGTGAAATCTGTGAATGATCACAGAGGTCACATGGTACAAGGCTATTCACAACAGCCTTGTACCATGTGACAAGCTGTGACCAATCACAGCTCACACAGTAGTTCTCAATGGCTGCAAGAATGCAGACAGAAAGAAAGATAAATGATTGCTTTTACATCCTATATGGGTGTAAAAGCAATCAGTGTAAAAAAAAAAAAAAAAAAAAAAAAAATCCTCATCACCCCCCACAAGTAGTACAGCGTCACCATGGTGACACTGTACTGCTAGGGTGACAGTATGTAAAAAAAATATAATAATAATAAAAAAAATAAAATAAAAATGTAAAAAATTTTTTAAAAATTATCATTTTTGGTTATAAACTAATTTGGCTTATTTTTTTTTTTTTTTTACTAAAAAGATAACGGAATACATTTTGGCCAGGATTTATGATGAAATATTATTTATTTGCAAAATTTTATAACACTTTTTTTCAAAATGTTTGGACATTTTCATTTACATAGCAAAAAAAAATTAAAATCCCAGCGGTGAATAAATACCACCAAAATAAAGTTTTATCTGTCTCAAAAAAAATGGTAAAAAATTCATATGGGTACACTGTTGCATGACCGCGCAATTGTCATTCAAAGTGTCATAGCGCTGAAAGCTGAAAATTGCCCTGGACAGGAAGGGGGTAAAAGTGTCCAGACAGGAAGTGGTTAATGCTGATTATTATCCTATTGCCAGCTGGTTGCTGGTTACTGTAAAAATCTTAGTTTCTTACAGCCCAGATACTGTAGACAGTGCTATTGTTACAGTGCTGCTACTGACAGTTTTGGCTAGAGTACAGTGCAGGAATTGCATCTTTCACTCTTAGCACACGTATCAATCTCATTTCTTCCCCCTAGTATGATTGCAAGAAGCCTTGTATTATTTTCAAAGAATACAAGGCATTCTGTGAATGCATGAGAGGAGAGGAAGGGCAAGTAAATGATAGGAGCTTCGCTGGCCCTGGAGTTCCACTTTAAGTCATAGTCTGGACATTGGTGCACTTTAATGCAGCTGTATAGCTGCAATAACTTAAAACAAAAACTAAAAAAAAACAAAAACCTTTTTAAACAGTAGCTAAATGTTGTGCTTTATAAATTGTATTTTTCTATTTATTAAATGCCTATAAATGATAGTGAGAATCAGCTCTATGCTCAGTCTGTACTCAAGCATGCTTCACTCATGTTATTGTCACAGTTGTTATTCCTCTTACAAGCTTTTTACTCCATATTGATTTCCCCAAAGTTTATTCTTAGGAAAACTTTAAAGTGGTTCTAAAGGCTGAAGGTTTTTTACCTTCATGCATTCTATGCAAGAAGGTAAAAAACCTTCAGCGTTCAGCTCCCCCCTCAGCCCCCCTAATACTTACCTGAGACCAATTTCGATCCACTAACGTGCACAAGAGCAGAGGATCTCCTGGGTCTCTCTCCTCTCATTGGCTGAGACACAGCACTGGGAGCCAGTGGCTCCCGCTGCTGTCAAACACAGCCAGTGAGGAGGCAGCAGGGGTGGGACAAAACCACGCTCTCTGTGTCCCATAGATACACAGAGGCGGCTTGGAAGCGAGCACACACAAGTGCCCCCAGAGCAAGCAGCTTGCTCTGGATGCACTTGGCAGCAAGGAGGGGCCAGAAGCTTGAGAAGAGGAGGATTGGGTCTGCTGTATGCAAAGCTATTGCACAGAGCAGGTAAGTATGTGCTTTTTTATTTTAAAGAAAAAAAATCAAGCCTGTAGAACAACTTTATGTGAAAGTCCAATTAAACGCTAACAAACTTAAATTTACTCCCACCCCCACCCCCATTCTGAGCCCTATTCTGACTATCTTGTAAGGGAAAAATGTCTATACTTATTCTGAGGGTGCTCTGGTCTGGTCACATCATCTCATTATCATCAGCCAGCTTCAATAGAGAGGAGAGATTGCGTACAACGGCTGGGCTTACTGTGGGGCATCTGTTGTTGGCTGTCCCTTCTTTACACTGAAGTCATCTCTGGGACCCGATCTTATGACTGGACTGGAGCATCCTTAGATTAGGTAAGTATAGGAATCTTTCCTTTACAGGGTAGTTAGAATTGGCTTAGAATAGCCAGTTAGATTTTAACTGGACTTCGACTTTAAGCTGGCCATGTACTCTACAATCTCGTCGTACAAGCTCTATACAATTTTTTGTAGAGTTACCAATCAATCTACTCAGGCTCTTACACTGTATAGTCAATATTAGAACTAAAGAAAATTGTACAATCTTAAGAGCTACAATATGTGCGAAGTGGAAGAAAAATATTTTGCATCTGTACTTTCTTGCAAAGCGCCATATAGCTACAGCATCCTTTTTTCTTTTTTTCCTCATGTAGTTTTCTTCACATTTGTTTTTAAGTGGCAGATTGAAACAATTGTACAAACTCTTAAAGCGGAGTTCCACCTGAAAAAAAAATTAAAGTCAGCAGCTACAAAAACTGTAGCTTCTGACTTTTAAAATACAGCCACTTTACCTGTACCTCGGTCCAGCGGTGTCCTCACTACCGCTGGTTGCACCGGCCGTCTTATCTCCCTGGCACCAGCATCTTCAGTGTGGGCACTCGGCTGTGACAGCTTGCGGCTTCACAGCTGGGTGCCCACTGAGCATGCGTGAGAAGTGCTGCGTTTTGTGAATGGCCCTGTAATCTTCTGGGACCTGTCACGTGTCCCAGAAGACTACGAGGAGGGAGTGGGGGGAGGACAACTGTCGCTTCCGATCGCCTAGACCAGTAGTGGGCAACCTTTTTTTTCAACTGAGCCAAATCTCGCCAAAACCACGATTGAAATTTATTTTGAGAGCCACATTTTTAAAACTGAAAATACATCCCCCATATAGTAATTCATCCCCCATAGTAATTCATCCCCCATATAGTAATTCATCCCCCATAGTAATTCATCCCCCATATAGTAATTCATCCCCCATAGTAATTCATTCCCCATAGTAATTCATCCCCCATAGTAATTCATCCCCCATATAGTAATTCATCCCCCCTATAGTAATTCATTCCCCATATTGTGTCAATTCACTTACCTTTGCTCCACGCGTTCCTCTCGCCGTGTTCCCGCGCCGTTCCGGTCTTCAGGGCGGACTGTGAGAGGAGAGAAGTTCGTCACGCTGCCCCGTCTACATCCTGACAGCCAATGTTTGCCACGCTCCGCGAGACGGATTAAAAGGTCCGCCGGGCCGTAGTTTGCCCATTGCTGGGCTAGCTGCAGAGTCCTGACTTTTGGGGCGGCCGCCCGAGAGGAGGGAGGGGAGCGGGCGCCCGGCACACAGAAGAGCCGCATTAAAGTGTGTAAAGAGCCGCATGTGGCTCGCGAGCCGCGGCTTGCCGACCACTGGCCTAGACGATTGCAGCGGAAGTGGGAGTGGGTACCTGTCAAATTCGGGTACCCGCACCCTCCCCCACTCCCCAAAGGTGCCAATCCTTAATTGGGAGCGGGGGGAAAGGCTTAAAGTGGAACATCCCCATTTGGGTGGAGCTCCACTTTAAAACTCAGTTTTTTGTAGACTTAGGTTCTGGAAATGCATGCTTTTCATGTTCCAAATGTTTCTTTATAACTAATACCATGGATTCTTTTTTTCTAGGGCCCTGTTCACACTTGAGCGTCTTTTATTTCATGCTTGTTTTTGTGGGTTGTACAGCGGTTTTTAGCATGTTCACATTTTTTTCTGACTTTAGCTTCTTTTAATTACATTTTGACAATTTAAAGTTAGTTACAAGGCAAGAAAACACCTAAAAACGCATGTTGCCCAAAAAAGAAGCTCTTATATACAGTCAGGTCCATAAATATTGGGACATCTACACAATTCTAACATTTTTGGCTCTATACACCACAACAGTGGATTTGAAATGAAACAAACAAGATGTGTTTTAACTGCAGACTGTCAGCTTTAATTTGAGGGTATTTGCATCCAAATCAGGTGAACGGTGTAGGAATTACAACAGTTTGCATATATACCTCCCACTTGTTAAGGAACCAAAAGTAATGGGACAGAATAATAATCATAAATCAAACTTTCACTTTTTAATACTTGGTTGCAAATCCTTTGCAGTCAATTACAGCCTGAAGTCTGGAATGCATAGACATCACCAGATGCTGGGTTTCATCCCTGGTGATGCTCTGCCAGGCCTCTACTGCAACTGTCTTTAGTTCCTGCTTGTTCTTGGGGCATTTTCCATTCAGTTTTGTCTTCAGCAAGTGAAATGGATGCTCAATCGGATTCAGGTCAGGTGATTGACTTGGCCATTGCATAACATTCCACTTCTTTCCCTTAAAAAACTCTTTGGTTGCTTTTGCAGTATGCTTTGGGTCATTGTCCATGTGCACTGTGAAGCGGCGTCCAATGAGTTCTGAAGCATTTGGCTGAATATGAGCAGATAATATTGCCCGAAACACTTCAGAATTCATCCTGCTGCTTTTGTCAGCAGGCACATCATCAAAAAATACAAGAGAACCAGTTCCATTGGCAGCCATACATGCCCACGCCATGACACTACACTACCACCACCATGCTTCACTGATGAGGTGGTATGCTTTGGATCATGAGCAGTTCCTTTCCTTCTCCATACTCTTCTCTTCCCATCACTCTGGTACAAGTTGATCTTCGTCTCATCTGTCCATAGGATGTTGTTCCAGAACTGTGAAGGCTTTTTTAGATGTCGTTTGGCAAACTCTAATCTGGCCTTCCTGTTTTTGAGGCTCACCAATGGTTTACATCTTGTGGTGAACCCTCTGTATTCACTCTGCTGAAGTCCTCTCTTGATTGTTGACTTTGACACACATACACATACCTCCTGGAGAGTGTTCTTGATCTGGCCAACTGTTGTGATGGTGTTTTCTTCACCAGGGAAATAATTCTTCGGTCATCCACCACAGTTGTTTTCCGTGGTCTTCCGGGTCTTTTGGTGTTGCTGAGCTCACCGGTGCGTTCCTTCTTTTTAAGAATGTTCCAAATAGTTGTTTTGGCCACGCCTACTGTTTTTGCTATCTCTCTGATGGGTTTGTTTTGTTTTTTTAGCCTAATGATGGCTTGCTTCACTGATAGTGACAGCTCTTTGCATCTCATCTTGAGAGTT